CTGCCTCAGCCCCACTCCTACACACAGGATGTCATCAGTCAACTGGAGGTCTCCACGTGGGGTCTCCCGGAGACTTGTCAGGGCTCAGGTGGCTGTGGGTGCTGTGACACTTTCTGCAGTGGCTTACTTGCAACTCAAGTTCAAAACTCCTCATCTAGGAAGACCAAGCACATCACTTCTAGAACGGGGATGAACAAGGAGTGAGGGCTGGGTAGTGGAGCTGACACTGGAGTGGAGGGTTAGGGTCCCCACCGAAGAACTGCTTTCCAGGCCACCGGGACCTGCTTCCCATTGCCAGGCATAACTAGGAATGAGGCTGTAGATGAGGCCTCCACGGCTGCTAAGAGCCTGTTCATGCAGCACTGTTTTTATATTAAGCTTCATTTAATTCAGCAAGCCCCTTCTGAACTCCAGAAATAAACCTCAAAGGCACAACCCTTTAGTGCTCACAATGTCTTTTCTTTTTCCTTTTAGAGATTATTTATTTATTATGTATACAGTGTTCTATCTACTATTTGCTTTCAAGACAGAAGGCTTCAGATTTTATTATATATAGATGATTCTGAGTTGCCATGTGGTTGCCGGGAACTGAACTCAGGACCTCTGGAAGAGCAGTCAATGCTCTTAGCCTCTGAGTCATCTCTCCAATTCTCTTTTTCCTTCTGTTTTTATCTCCCCCCTCCCCCCGGAGACAGGGTTTCTCTGTCCTGGAACTCACTCTGTAGACCAGGCTGTCGTTAAACTTAGAGATCTCCCTGCCTCTGCCTCCCAAGTACTGGGATTAAAGACATGTGCCACCAACACCGCCCAACTAACACAATGTCTTTTTATCCAGAGATTTTCCTGGATCATTAGAAGCTCATGTTGCAAGATTTGTGACCATCACCTGTCTTTAGATGGGAAAACTGAGGGTCAGGGAGATGAGCCTCCTGCCTGGGGCTTAAGTTGACAAATGGCTGAGCTGGCCAGCAAACATGGGGCTGTGACTCCTGCCTGTTGGTCTTAATGGATTAGACACACGGTCCTAAACTTTGCAAGGCAGATCAACATGCCCAGGAGATGGTAAAGGGCATAGACAAGGGCCCCAAGTAATGGCTGAGAGATAAGCCCATCTGAGCATGTTCTGTATTCCATCTCTGCCTTTGGCGGAGCCCAGGACACCAAAGAGAGACTACCTTGAGATGGTGAGTGGCAGAAGCAACTGCCTCTCCAAGGCCCACAGGCCCTTCTCAGGCTTACACCCCCTGGTTCTGCTGCCGGAATACACACCATCAAGTGCTCTGATTATCTGAGACCCAACTGCACATCTCCCACATCCAGACGGCCTGACTGGCTCCACCACAAAGTCGTTTGTGGTTCTTTCCTCCTCTGTCTCAGTTTCTCCATGACAGAGGGAGTAGACTGTACAGTATGCAGGGCCCTCCTTATGTTAGAAGGAAGACTCCTAGCCTAGAGCTGTCCTAGTACGTCATGCTGGCATGTGAGGCAGGAGCTGCAGCAGGTGCAGGTCCCCAAACATAACTTAAGTGACAGAGGGGAGGCTCAGGTATAGGCTCTGCAGTTAGACTTGGTTTTGCTACTGCCCAGGCAGGAGTCCCTCTGTCCCATACCTAAAAGAAGAAAACTAAGCGTGCAGAGGGTAGCCACGAGGACACAATGAGACAGCATAAGGAAGACGTGTAGTGAACCCATCCTTTCCTGACGAGAGGCTTCAGCAGGGCTGTTGGGATTCGTTGCCAGTGAGGCAATTCTGGGGAGAACAGGTACAATCCTCTCAGAGGTCTGACAGTAGCGTGCCTGCCACCCAACATGAGTGCTTCCTCGTCCCCAATTCTTGGTCCTAGTCACAGGTCAAGTTCTGTGAAGAACCTGTTCAACTTGCAAGCAGTCACACCAACCTTCACCACCTCAATGAGCTCAAAAAGAAGAACTGGTGAAATTTCTTGTCTAACTCCCTAAGTCCTTATCCTTAACAAAATGTGCACTGCAGAATCCTGAACAAAGGTAAGACTGTCCTTCCAGGGAGCTAGGACTACCTCATCCTCTCACAATATCCTCCTCCCAGATGTAGAGCGACCACAGAACCGTCCTGAGGCTTAAGATCCCAGTGAGACATGGACAAGAGGGTCTGTTTCTCTCTCTCTCTCTAGAGAGAGAGAATGTTGGATCTTGACTGAAAAGGGCCTCTTGTCACCAACTCAGGGCAGGGCAGCACCCCGCAGGCTATATAGCACCTGTTCTACAGACTGAGACCTGTGGTCTCCCTGTCTACTCTCATGACATGCTGGGGTTCCAGGGTAATAGGCATGGGCTCAGAACTGCCTACTGTTCACAGTCCTACTGCAAAGTGAGTCTGTGCCACCCACCTTTCTCACTGCAGCCACTACAGCAGCCTCTGAGGCGGCAAAGTCCATCTACATGGTCAAGCTCCCCACAAGCGCCTACCTCTGGATTCTAGTCTGGGTCTCCCCCTTCAAGAGCTCAGTTCTATGTCTTTTGGGACTTTGAAAGCATGGAAAAGGCCCCCACTCAGGTTTCCCCAACCAACCTGAGTGGGCAGAGTCACAAAAATAGAGCAGTGAAGAGAGGAAGGGGCAGCTGTGCTCAACAAACTTCATCTTACACAGCTGTTTCGCAGAGCACTGCCAGTTCCCGAACAGTCCAGGAACTCACTTGCATGTGCATACCTGTTCATGCACGCCTCATGTGCATGCACACTCAGATGACATTTAGCAGCCACTCAATAGGCTCTGCCCTTCATTCCAAGAAGCCACACTTCAGGGCTGGCAAATGGGACCATGATGACACTCAGCAATCCAATCAAGTTGCTGCAAAGCATCATCATTACCTGAGAAGTGGCCTGCTGGCCTCTACCCACTGCTGCGTGAGTAGAGGAGACAGACTGAAGGCTTGCTCACAGTGTCCTCCAGCCCAGAAGTGATGCATCCACCGCCTTTTTCAACACAGGAAAGGAGCAGGGAGCTCAAAGCTGTCTGGGATGAGCATAGCCAGCATCTGCTCTGGCGTGGGGCATGTGAAGCCAAGAGACTTGATGAGAAAAGGCAGGGCAAGAATGTGAGTGGCAGTGGCACCAGAGATAACAAATCAGTGACTCGAACCAAGGCCAGAACGGACACTGTGGGTCTTACTGTCAGCTAGTTCTATCTGAGGTTTTTTTGTGAACAACTACAGGTACAGAAGTAAAACTTCCTCCAGGCATGAGTGGGCAGGTTCCAGACAGACAGCCTTCTGAGAGATGATGTCCTCCAGGTTAAGTGTATCTCACTCGTACTTCTACACAGATCACCTAGTGACGTAAATCTGGTAGAACATACTCCAACTGTGTATGTCTGGTATAAGGTCCAAATGTCTGTCTGCTGTCTGTGTGTGTGTGTGCGCGCGTGCTTATATGTGTGCATGTACCAAGGCATAAATGTGGAAATCAGAGAATAACTGGCAAGAATTCTCATTTTCCATCATGTGGCTTCCAGGGCTTGAACTGTGGTCAACAGGCTTGGTGGCAAACACCTTTACTCACTGAGCCATCTCACTGGCCCAAGATGAGAGATTTCTGAGCAGCTCATTGGCAATGCCAACACTGCTGGTCAGAGACCATGCCAGAGAGTCAAGTGTTAGACTAGACGAGAGCATCACAAGCAACAAGAGCCCTCCAGGTCCTCATGAGGATCCAGGATGAGACAGGGGAACCCTAGCACCTGTCTGTGGTGTTGACGCATGCCTGGACATACGGTATCTGGACAGCTGCCACTTGCCCTCTTTAGGCCTTCAATCAAGTCAGTGTTTGCAATGAGCTATGGATGGCACAAACTCCTCCCACTCTTACTGGAGCCTGCCCCCTTGGGTTCCCTTGGGTCTACAGAAGCAGTTCTGTGATGGTGTGAGAAGACTCACAGTATAGAGAGCAAGCAAGGGTATCTGTATTAGGCAAGGCTAGGTACCAGGGTGGTGCTCACAGAGACAAGGCTATTTGAGCAGGGTACTGGGAGGTCAAACTCTTTCTAGGTAAGCTGTGATGCACACTTCAGGAGGAGTACTGAGATGTGTGCAGGGCACGTCATATATACTGGGAACAATGTAGGGCACATACTGAGGTGTCTAGAACATCACTTGAGGGGCCTACGAAGGGAAACAGAGTCTAGTTGTGCGTAAGAAAGAACATTAAACAAGACTCTCCTATGACTTCACCGTGGGATTGGATCAGTCTCCTCGTGCCTCTCTTTCTGTGTCTAAACTCTTGTGTGCAGTTAAGTGGCTTGGCATCTGGCTTACACGTTTTAATCTTACACAGAAGCATTGCCCTTGGTTGTTAGCAACTCACTCCGAACCTCACTTAGTCTTGACTGTGCAATATTCCACCACATGGATGCACAAAATTCCTCTAACAACTTGCTTGTGCCAGTCATCCCAGCGGCCCCGACTTCTCATGAGCATAAACTGTCTTTTCCCAACTTCAGACCATCGGGGTTAGCAGAAAAATCTCAGGAGTGGGCCTGAAATCAAAGAGTGTGAGCAGGGGTTTCTGGCTTGTGACATGTGGCCATACCACGTTGTAGAAACGCTGTAGTGGGGTCACTTTGATTCTGGGAGACCAAGTGGGAGAAGCCTAAGCTCCGCACAGGCTCATGTCACAACTACAGATGAGAAACACAGCAGCCCCTGAAGCCATGCGGGACCAGATGAGACCCAAGGGACTCCATGAGACCCAGGGGACCAGCACTGCAGGTGGCAAGACTGGGCTGGAAACCTGCAATGCTAGACTGGAGTTTCTCTTTGGCCTGTCCTCTTTTCCCTCAGGAACCTTTATCTGGTTCCTGAGATAAAGTGGCCATCTTTGCAGGGCCACTGGGTACTAGGAAAAAGAACAGCCCAATTCAACTGGTGTTAGCCTGGCCAGACGGGACCCCCTTGTGTTTTGTTTACTTCAGCTGGTGCTGAGTGCTCTTCAGCACCTGCCTCTCAAGCAGGGCCATTGCTCCTACCTGCCAGTGCGGGGATAGTGACCCGGTTCCACTCCCAAGGTTGGTCGTACTCATCAGCAGGCCTGTCATCATCCTGGGGTAGCTTGCTCTCCCGCAGCCGAAGGCTCACAGTGCTCTCTGAGTCTGAGTCCACATTCTGGCCTTCCGGTTCATAAGGGGTGTCATATAACTGGATGCCTTTGTGTTGGGACCGGACACTCTCCTGCCTCTGGAATTCTGCAGGTGAAAAGAGAAGAAGTAGAGATGTCATAGACGTGTAGTCCCCAGCAAAGGACCAGGTCTGATGGCAGAGCTACCAGCCAGAGAGTTGGGACTGGCAGAAATGATCCCTTTCTATTTCAGGCTGCCCTGCACTGAGAAAGTGCCTTCCCAGCTCTCTGGGTGCAGACCTGCTTCCCACGACCATAACTGACAACCTCACAGCAGCTCTCTCCACTGTCTTCTCTGTCTTCAAGAACGGGAGCCCCTTGTGAGCGGGAAACGACAAGTACCGTCTGGGGCTCCGTCCAGCCCTCTTACCTGACAGTTTCACCACTGAGCCTTTCAATCCCATTCCCACAGAGCCACACTGGGGCAATGACCCTCCTGTGCCCACCCAGCTCATAGATTAAAGAGCCAACATGCAAAGATTTTCCTGGAGAGGACCTGGCCAGGCTACTCTTCAACCCTGTGAAGCTGAGTGACGCCTCCCTGCAATTCTATACCCCAGAGTCCGCTCATCTCGCCCATCTGAATATGTTGGGGAACAAGAGGCGGCTTCTTCTGGGGAGTGACATGGATGACCTGACTAGTCATTCCTGACAGCACAGACATTTCAGTTGCCTATTCAGAAAAGAGAACAGAGCTACCATGATGTTGCTGGGATTCTGAACTCAGGCCTTCTTGGCCAAGCAAAGAAACTTGATTGACTTGCATATCATGAGCACCTGCCATTTATCCAGCACCTTTGCTGTCTAGGCTTCTCCTGGGGAGGCTGCTATTTCTAGGAGGTAACACACTTACATCATCATGACACTGACCTGAAGATAAGGGAAACTGGGCATGGTGGGGTAGGAAAAAGGAACCTGCATTTGAACTCACAGCTCTGGTACGTGGAAGCGGAAAAGGATGGCAGCACCTGAGGTAGGAGCGGGCTGAGCCAAGGTCCCATCACATAAAAAACAAGCTCATAGATTGTTTACTTTTCCTTTTGAAAGTCTCACAATGTAATCCATAGAACTTCTATTATGTGGTCCAGACTAGACTTGAAGTCATGACTCCCCTGCCTCAATCTCCCCAGTGATTGGAGTATAGGCAAGGGCCACTGCACTTGGCTCCAATTTTAGTTTTTTTTTTAATTGTATGAAACAATATATGTAAAACTTCTCTATTCCAGCCATTGTTACCCGGACAATTCAGTGACATTAAGTACAAGCACCCTTGTGCAGGCATCATCACCACTCATCCCTAAAACTTCTTCATCTTCGCAAACTAGAATTCTGTACCCATTATACGGGGCTCCTCACTTCTCCCCAGCCCTTAGCAAAATCTATCTCACCTCTCTCAGTCTGACTACTCTGGACTGCTACTTCCCGCAAGAGAATCAGATCTGCCCTTCCTAGGTTGGTTTACTGCACATGGCGTTGTGTTTCCAAGCAGGGCCATGTGGCAGAACCTCACTTGTCTTCAAGGCTAATTAATGCCTCATCATGTGAACATTTCCATCCCCTTGTGCTGTGGTCCCAGGTTCAAGGGGAGAGTGGCAGAATGGCTGACTACAAAGGTGTGTGTGACACTCTCCAAACCGGAGGTTGGATGCACAGAGACACAGCGAGGCCACCAGCCTTGCAGGACAGTTGCTGGAACACACGTGAATGACGGGTGCCTTCCCAAGCAAGGGCACTTCTGGACTCTGCTCTACAAGTCAAGACCACCTCACCAAGAAAACAACAGCCCTCCTCCTGGTCTGATGAAACTGGCCAATGACTGCACACTGCCCTTCAGGACTGCATTAACGCTTGTGCCAGTATTTACCAAAGTTTACCAAGTCCCACACCAACTTTATGACTCTGGCTTCCAGAACCATTATTGTATTTGTTTTTAAATTCATTTTAAAAAGGAAGTTTCTGTAAATATTCCAGAAGCAGTTATCTTGCACCAACAGCTACTGATTACAAAGCCTGAATGAGAAGCAAGTCCACTAGACTGGTACCCTGCAGAGCGCCCAAGGCTGAGATTAGCAAGTGTTAGAGAGCTGGCAGGGATGCAGGCACAAACAATTTTCATTCTCACTGGGCTGTGGAGGCTCACATCTTTAATCCCAGCACTTGGGAGGCAGAGGCAGAGGCAGAAGCAGAAGCATCTTTGTCAGTAGGCCAAACTGGTCTACAGTGAGTTCCAGTACTGGCTTCATAGCTATTGGGAAACCCTGTCTCGGGAGGGGCGGGGGGGGGGGGACACTTTCATTTTCTAGAAAGAAGAGAAAATGAACAGGGAAACCCCTGACTGTAGCTTGTAAGCCATGTAAATGTATCTCCCAAGAGGTGTCCCCATGCTTTGGTAAAATGTGGCTTTTCTTGGGTTCCATAGTACCATGTTTCCCTTTGTCAGGCAGAGGGGAAGAAAGAACTGAGAAAGAAAGGGCACCAATTGTAAAGCACCCTGGGCAACTTCGCAAATCACTTCCTGAGCCCAACTACCCAGGCTACTCACTGCTTTGAAAGGGCCCTTGACATCTCCCTATTTGTTCTGAGGAGGACGCAGATCCTGGGGACCGGGGGTCGCAGCTGATAGAGCTGACCTGGGAGAACCTCTGGCATGGCCCGTCACTAAGGCACTGATTCTCAACCTTCCTAATGCTGGTAACCCTTTACTATAGATCCACATACATTGTCATGACCCCAACCATAAAATGATTTTTGTTGCTACTTCCTATCTGCAATTCTGCTTCTGTTATGAATCATAATGAATACCTGTGTTTTCCAACGGTCTTAGGTGACCCCTGTGAAAGAGTTGTCTAACCCCACCACCACCACCAAGGGGTGAAGACCCACAGGTTGAGAACCAGGGCTCTAAGGGCATAAAGCAGCTCATAGGTACACTTTTGTGGGGAATACCCGTGGCGCCGTTCTCCAGAAACCAATGCAGACATTCGAGTGAATGGAGAGGTAGATGAACAAGAACTGACAGAGAGCCAGATACCATTCTATACCCCCAATTCCCCGTTAATTTGTTAAAATCCCAGGTACCAGCGACGACGTGCCTGGAAATGCTACCTGCACACAGCTTCGTGTCAAGCAACACTGAGAAGAAACAGGCACACTGTATCCACAGCCGCCTAAAAGGAAAATGTGCTGAGAACAGATTAGCTATTCAATCGGAAGGACCTGCATGACACCTCTCATGCAGGATTGATTGTTCTTTGAGAAATCTGGGCCTGTAATGGCAGCTTAGGCTGTCGGGATGCCATTGTGGTCATTAAAACCAGCTTCCCTCTGTATTACAGGATAGATTTAAATTTTAATTAGGGCTCAACAATAGGGAATAGTTAAGTAAATTATGGCATGTTAACTGGATGGAATATTAAGCAATCATTAAAATGATAAATAGGAAGATAATGTAGCTACATGGAAACACGGTTGAGCTAAATAATAAAATACAGAAATGTTTGTGTGTTGAGAACCAAAGAATATAACTGAACTTCCTAAACAATTTCTGGCAAGGTGAACACTCGCAAAGGGAATTCTGCTCCCTGCTTAGGAATTGCTCAAAACCAACAAGGCACATTTTACCCTAACATCTAAACTGAGAGGACAGCAATGTCCCAAGTACAGACACATGGAATAAAGGGCTGCTATGGAGAGGAAGAGACCACTGTTTAATTAGTTTTCAAAGTTGTTGTGAATAATGAATAAAGATGCTAGTGAAGAAAAAGCTGTAATTAAGACAGGAATACGTGACACACTAAGCAGACAGGCTTCCCAGGGCTGGGCTGTCTATCTCAGAAGCAGCCACCAGCCCAAGCCCCTGAAAATGAGAGCAGTGAGCAGCTCCTTTCCTGAGAGGCTGCCAAGAGCACCACAAGTCAAGGGCCGCCAGGCCAGGCCACCTGGCAGGACATCGCGTTTCCTGCCTAATGACCGTGGCACATCCCCTTTACTAACCAGGCCCGTTGGTGACAGTTCCCCGAGGATCTAGTAGAGGAGCTGGTGCCTGTATGTTCTAAGCCACAAACGATCGAGACATCACCGTCCACTTCTTAAAGGAAAATGACCTTCAACACTGGGTGGCAGGCTGTGATTTCATGACTTGTGGGCAGCAAGCAGAAATATTAAATTGACAGTGTGGGGATTTCTCTTGACCTCTGGAGTAGTAAGGTTTTCAAGTAGAACAAGGAAAAAAAGAGAAACAACAATGAACACATTGTACATTCCATAGAACCAGAGAATGATAGATCTGGAAGGAACTCTTTAAGAACTCACCTGTAGCATTTACTAGAAGGGCTGGAAAAGCCAGGGTCATAACTGATAATCGAGGAAGAGAGAGAGGCAACCAGACAGGCTGAGCTTGCTACAAACCAGAAGCCTCCTGGAGTGGATGTATCTGGGATCTGACGAGACACAAGCCCCCAACTCTCTCCCGGTTTTAAAGCAGTTCTAGGTCTGCAAAAGCTGAGCACAAGACGGACGGATGTCCCACGTATCCTCTGCCCCAACCATACACAGTCGTCTCCATTAGCAGCACACCCACACAGCAGCTCGCAGCTGACGAGCCTACACTGATGTCACACCATGCGAGGGTTCACTCCTGGACTGGGATTCGGACAGATGTGTAATGGGATGTTCTCCCAGTGCTGCAGTATGTGAGGCATTTCCACTGACACCGAATTGTCTGTCGTCTGCCTAGTCTCAGCTCCTTCCTCCAACTTCTGGCACTCGCCTATCTCTCCCCATTTCCATAATTTTATCTTTTTCAGAATGACATACGGCGGGAATCAGGCAGTATGCCGACTCCTCGGATCAGTTTCTTTCTCTAAAACACATTTTCATTTCCTTTATGCTTCTTCCCCCTTTGATAGCTCAATTATAGCTGTCTCTTTAAAAACCGTGTGTGTGTGTGTGTGTGTGTGTGTGTGTGTGTGTTGTATATGAGACGGTCCTGGGCCCTCTACAGCTGGAGCTCCAGGCAGTTAGTTGTAAGCCTCCAGATGTGGGTGCTGGGAACTAAACTCAGGTCCT